TTTCTTTGTTGTGGGTGTCCCTATAGACGAATTGCACTACTGGGGGCACGTAAAGGCATATGATGACAGGTTGAGAGTCTTGGTCCAATTTTTTTAATTTTTTTTTTTAATAGCGCTACAAAGCTCATCTGAGCACCAGAAACCAGCACCGGCTGCTGTTGGGCTCAAGCAGCAAAGCACGGACTGGTGTCTCTGTTGTGCTGGGTTCTGTAACTGCGCTGCGGGGATTTACATCTCTCTATTTAACTAGGTCACAAGGAAACTATACGGCCGTGTGTTTGAAAGAGCAGAGTTTAGCAGGCCTCCACCAACAGCTCGCCAAAGACTTTTTAAACGCTCAGCTCTACGGACCAGACGCCAACCGGGCCCAGGGTAAGGCGTTCTCCTTAGGCGGGGCTGTGTCTAGCTTTGTCTGAGTCAAACTCCTAGTAATTAACACTCATCTCCATTTCAGCAAATGAATTTTTTTCCCTTGAAAACAAGAAAGACCCAGTTAAAAAAGCTGCAGTTCAGTTTGTGGACAAATCTTGGGGTGAGTATAAAATGTCAAAGACTACTTTACTTTATGCATATGTGGTTTAAAAAGTACACTTTTTTTTCTTTTCTTTTTTTTTTTTCCTAGTAAAGCAGATTTCCCATGGTAGAGAGAGGGCTGTGTTGCTGCCTTCTCACTCAGTGACCCTGCCAGTAAGGGCAGGGCAGTGAGCAGGTGTACGAGACAACAGAACTTGAAAAAAATTACATTTGTGGTATATTAAGAAATAGCGCATGGGCCTAGAGGCATGTTCACTTGGTGAAATACATACTGTACTAATTGCTGTTTCAGCCTACAACCGCTGAGCTGCTGGAAGTCATTTTGGATCAGTGTAAAACTTACAGCAGGGCTGCCAAGATCCCCAAACATCTGTGTGAGCACAGGGAAATAACACCCCTCTCTCTTCATTTAAAAAAAAAAAAAAAATTGCAGAAAAAGAATGGGTAGGGACTCACACCTGTGTTGGTTACGGCCACACACGCACAGGCTGCGAGGCGCACCGGAGGCAGACGTTACTGAGCCTGAGCAGGCAGAGTCTGTGCTTCAGTCATGGAAGCGATGCTACGGCAGCGCTCTGGCTGAAGGAGAGGGGTGCCAGCTGGAACCCCAGGCCCGTGGAAGGCACCGGTTGGCTGTAGAATGTGATGGGAAGTTCCTCAGCTTTCCAGTCAGTTCTGTTCTGAAATGCTCTGGTAACCAACCGATGGATTGCTGCTGCTCCAGGAGCTGGGCTAAGACAAAGGGAACTAACTAATGGCTGTTTGTTTGCTTGTTTTTCCCCAGGGCAAGAAAAAAAGCAAAGCGCAGCAAGGTTTAAAAAACGCTGGCTCTCGACACAGATCAAAAATCGAGTATGAAGACGGCTTCTTCAGGAGATGCTGTTAAGGACTTTTACTGACAGTTAGTCTCTCCACACCACAAAGGTGTGTTTTGGTGTTTGTTTTTTTCCCCCGCATTTCTCCCTCAGCTGCGCCACGACAGCCCGCCCTGCTCTCTCAGAAGCGGGGAAAGAAACCACGGTCTCTGACCCCTTCCTGCGGACTGAGGGCAGCTCGTGTTAGCGCCAGGCTTGTGGAGGCAGCTCCTTGGCAGCGAATAAAGATGACCACTGTTTTGTACTGTCTGTTCTGGATGCTGCAGTTCTTGCAGCAATCGGTTATTCCTGCTTTTTCGGTTATTTGCATCTCCTAAGAAAGGCTGTATCCTAAGCCTGGAATGGTTAAGTCACCTCACATAGCGGGGGACCTTTCCATCCAGCCTGCTGATTGCTTTCAAATAGTAAGGTTTTTCCCCCCACCCCCAATCTTCAGGGGGAAATACCCACCAACTCCACTTGCTTGGTCAGACAACGTTTAATTTTTGACAGCCCAAAAAAGCCCTGGCACAGAGAAGCTGCAGCCCCGGTCCATCACCCTCAATCCATCGCTCTAGGACAGAGCTCTAGAAGCCAGGAAACGTAGCGTACAAGTTTGTGCTACCGTGTCTGTAGAAGTAAGTTTTTAATGGCTGGTTAATTATGATATCACTACATTTTATTGCAATATAGTACTATTTAAGCACTTTTAAAAATGCAAGGTGTACAAAGATTAAATTAAGACTGTAAACTGACTAAATATTTGGTTTTTATATAAATAGGTCATAACCACACTGTGTTGACATGTAATACTGTTATAATACAACAGTTAAACTGGTGAGTCTACACAACAGAAGCTGTCTGTAGTTAAACAAGGAAACAAAGTTGAAAAGACCATGTTAAAACAAAAAAAAAAACCTACTAAGATCAACAGGTTGGGATTGTAAGTAGCAACAAACATATTCACTCAGCTCCTGAGTAATTCAAGTTTTACAGTACACATTAAAAAATATCATTTCTTCCCATCAACACTATATATCCAAACCATCAGGTGTTTATGCACTTTGCAAATTACACTGATTGAACTATGTAACGATGGAGGTGGAGGTTGGCAAGTCATCCTGCTCGACGGTTACATCACCCACATGCTAATACATCCCCATTTTGTATTCCGTCCCACCACAAGGTAGCAGGGTTTTTGGTTTGTTTTGGACAATCGTTCCAAGGATCGGTACTTGTCGATCTGGATGTCTGACATTATCAGTGATAGTTTCGACTCTTAGTTGTCTAAGAGGTTTAAAGATGGAAATTTTCTCCTAACGCTAAGTTAGAAATCATTTGCATCATGCTGTAAACTAGGAAGCAACATAAAGCGACAGACTTGTCCTTAGTACATAATTAAAATTCCAAATTCCAGTCAGCAGAGCGGCTCTGCTTTCCGTGTTGAATACACCACCTTCCCGCTCTTCGGCTGCATAGCTAGTGTAGGTAGTCCTCCACTGTGGCGAAGGCGCAGGATCCGATTCCCGATCGAGCCATCAATCCTAGACACTGCGACGCTTGGCCCATGGCTAGGGCAAGCGGCGGTTGCTTTGGCAGATTGTGAGTCTCTGGAAAAGAACCACAGTGGCAGTTAACGTCCCTCATTCATTTCGCAGTAACGCACTGAAAGCTTTTGACATTTTAACAGCGGCTTAAATCCTTCGTTTCAAAAATTCCTCTGTTCACTTCCAGAGTCTGCTCTTACAGCAAGACAGGGCAGGAGCCACAAAGCAACATTTTCAAATTCCCTTTTTGCTTTGAACAAGGAGGAGGAGGATTCCATCTGTTAGAGGAGTACCCCCGCAACACCACCCCCTCCCCTCCTTCACCAAAAGCGCGTGCCCTGCCCTCGCTGTGCTTCGTTAATCGCGCAGGAAACCCAGGGCGTGACTCGCGCCTGGAAGGGCGGGCGCTCCGAAAACCACCAGCCTTTACTCACCGAGTATTGCACTATTGAGTACAGAGCACACCGGTTCTCGCTGTATCGGGTCAAGCTGATTTCCAACAGGGCTGCTCCAGGGATCGGAATACGCAAGTAAACTGAACGCATCCTGGGGAAAAAAGATGATTTTTGTTAGGTCTCCCACCTATACGCTAGTAGTGGGAAGGAGGACTACTATTTTCTTCACCCATTTTGGTGATGGTTGTTTTTAAGAGGTGATGGGGAAAGAGAAAACAGACGGACAACGGCAGGCAGTCAGCCTCTGGCAGGGGAATTCTTTTCCAGAGCAGTCTCAAATCAAGGTAACCTAATTAACGCCCAAGACTACGAAAAAGACCACGTTTTATGCACCTGTATCAACCCTCTTTCCTGCGGTTCAGGTCCCATTAGAGCCGAACACGGCACTTTGACTCAGGAGGCCAAGCTACGTGGTCAGAAATGGGAGCGAGGGAAGCGCTAAATTAATCTCTGGTTTTAATTGTGCTACAGTACGGAATGGGGCAGGAGACGGGGCTACACCGCGGCTGACTCAAACACTGCGCCCGGATGAAGAAACAAACGCCCGCCCAAGTTAAAGCAGAGCAGTATTGCAATGCCGGGTGCTGGGGAGAGTCTCTGCGGGGCGGCACGGCTATTCGCCTTAACGCCGCCATTTCAAGACGAAACATACCTTGAGCATTTTCTTATTCGCCGTGTTTTTGCCACATTCTCTTCTTAGCTGCTCACTCATTGCTTGCAATTCTCTCCCAAAATGGATCATTCTTTCAATAGCCGCTTGGCTGCCACCACACAGCTGACGTCTTAACTGACTTGAATCTACTTCTGCAAAAATGAGATCGTCATCATCACCGCTAACAGAGCTGACAATAACGGTCTAGGGATCTACAGCCTCTGCCCTGATACTGCACTGATTGCTCGGAGAGAAAGCACGTCGGGCCAGAGCCCCTGGCACAGCGTACTCCTATACCGAGCACTGCTGAATTCCTCCTGGATATAAACACCAACAGACTTAGGTCACTAACGGCAAAGGCTGTTAATTTTGCAATGGTTAATTTTAAACTACCTAGACCATAAATCAAATTTTACCCTAAAGTTTTATGGAAGTTAGTAACAACAACAATAAAAGTTCACACAGTTCCACCTTTTTAATTCTTTGGCGTTGCACTTTAAGGCTACGCCAAGCGCGGAACTGCCAACAGAGGGTAAAACCCCCTGAACTTCCCCAACAGCCTACAAGACGATCATTTAGGCTGGTCATACGCCTTCTAGAATAAATTCACTTCAGAATTTGGACATTTCAGGCTTCTGTAATCAAGCAGAATGCTGCAATTGCTTTCTGTACGGTTTGCTACAATATTGCCCAATACGAGTGATTTTTAAAAGAGATTAATGCAGTTTATGAATAGTAAATCAACCCTTGGCTTCTCTCAAAGTTCTGCCTTGTTTAAATTTACAACTAAAGCAACCTGTAAAAAAAAGGAAAAAAAAGCATTTATCCATTCCTTGCCTTTTTTCATCAATGGAATCAAGTTTTGAATCAGATTTTTGATGTACACTTTAATTACTAAACCATTCTTGTTTCTGACTTTGACATTGCTATCTAGCGATGTGTTTTGACCATTATTTCGAACAAGGATTTGTAAGTGGCCACTTGTTTTTTTTCCCTTAGATGTGAGTGTATCACCTCTGGCAAAAAATCCGCCTACTTAACACTACATACACAGCACTAAGGAGAATATATAAATATTTCGAAAAGCAAAAAAACCACCGAACTCAAACTGGGGGGGGGGTGTAACCAATGTAGGTTGAGGAGCCACAGTTCTTTTTCACAGAGGTGAAGCGCCCCCAAGTCTCCAAGCAGTGGTGTTTGTTGCCAGCTCCAGCCCAACCTAGGACATCACTTTTTCCAAAGGCAGAAAACAAACTACCTTAAAACGCAAAACAAAACAAAGCCGCCAACAACTCTGTGCCCTGCGCAGCTGCCTCACGGCTGTCCCAGCAAGCCTCTGTGGCAAAGGCTGCAAGAGAGTAAAGAAGCATTTTGGTTTTTCTGTCACGGAAACGAGGCCTTGCTATTATCCGGTTTCCGAGCATAAGGCAGGGAAAAGACTCTGGCACTTTGCATCTCCCCGCTCCGGGGCTGTAACAGAATTCTGTTTGCTTTTCAACAGCTCCCCAGTCCTTTTACCAGCAAAGCTGCAGGATCCGCAGCAGCGCCTGCGCTCAGAACTGTGAAGCGTTCACAGGTACCTGCAGGTACTACTGCAAAGTTTACCAGCGACGTCCTGACTTCCACATTTCATTTCAACTACCTCTTAACTGGCGGCTGGTTAAATCACTTGTTTGAGCGGATAGTTCTGCAACTGCAGAAATGGCCGGGCTGGATTCCTCCGCTTCTTCAGGCACGGCCAGCAACAACCATTGCCTGAGCCGCAGCCCGCCGGCACGGAAGGGATCCGCCTTAGAGAGGGCCAGCCGGCACCCTAACGCACCCAGCAACCACCACCTTCGCACGCTGCCCCGGCCATCGCAGGGCATTTCAATACGCGTTTGTCACTAACAGGTATGACTGAGTATAAAGCATGTTAAGGAAACCAAAAAGTTAATTTTTAAATCACAACTATGTGAAACAGGATTCTTTTTTGGTGAAAAACTTTTTTTTTTTTTTTTTTAACATCTCAGTTCCCAAATATAGCTCTTTTCTTCAGCATTTAATATTAGCACTTTGCATTCTAAAAGAGAAGCAATTTGGAATTCCTACTCTCACGGTCGAGTGCAAAGATGCCACGAGAACCCCAAATGGTAAGAGGACGAGGGGGAGAGGGAGAAGCAGTCTGCCAGCCCTAGGCCAGGCGTGCCGCACAGCAGGGTGTTTCTTGGCAAAGGTAATTCCTTAGAACTCGATGCTAGCTTCAGTATCCGCGAGTTACCAGTTCCCCCTGTTCTCTCACTGACGCTGGAGCACCTAACTCAGTGGTTACGCAATTTACATCTACTAACAACAAAACAAACAAACAAAATTAAGACTTGAGCTAAAATCCCTAATTTTCAAGTTGGGAAGCATTGCAAGTAAAAACATAACCTTGTTGCCATGACTTAATAAAAATGTAAGAAATATCACTGCAGACCCATTTCTGTGTCACATTCTTCCATTTCGTGATCATGTTTAGAACTACCATTTAGGAAGCCATTGGATGAAGTCTCAGCAACCCCATTGGAGTAGTGATCTGTTTCCATGTCTACATCATTGCTGAAAAGAGAGTAATAAATAAAAGTTTTACTCATATTTAAGTACTTTGGGTTACCTTCACAACTTCAGCACGCTACTTCCCCATCTTGGCTACTGAAAAGCTGCTTCTAAGTATCGCCAAGTTAGACCACAGTTTTTTTCCAGACCAACTGGCGATACCAGAACACCAGGGACATTTTAAGGCGCTCTCGCCTAACATTAGCATTCAGTAAAATAACATTTTCAGATGCTGAAAAATGAAACATGTCCACCATTATTCAGGAATAAGTAGTATAACACTTTCTAAACACACACCAAAAAGTTCTTACTTTGTTTGTTTAGCTGTACGGACATACATAGGGCTGGAGAAATGCACTGAGAAAACATACTATTCCCACTTTTTTTTTTTTCTTAAAAAACAACTACCTCAATATACAGCCCACTTAGAGAATATCATATTTAGGTAAATTATTCTTTCAAAAAAGCCTTGATCTCTCATTTACTCTCAGTGGAAGGACAGGGGAAAAAGAAGAAAAAAACCCAAAGCAAATACTGAAGACAAACCAAGACACTGAAGAGAGACTCGGAGGCAAATTCAGGGCACACAACTCCTCACCACGCTTCGCTCGCGGCCGGTCACAGAAGCACTTTCAGAAAACGCCAGCGTGGCCCTGAGGACTGAGCTTTGCTGACGGTTACATCCTAGCCTGTTCTATTTCCTCATGGAGAATGACAACCTAAAACCTCTCTCAAGACCAAAAAGATTCAATTTAGAAGTTTAGTATCTCGCTTCTAAGCAACCAAAAATAACTCAGCTTCCCTGGAGGAAGGAAACCAAAAGGCCTCTGAGTGGGCAACACTGCAGCCAAGGAATCGCCTTCCTCCTGTGAAAAGTCTCAAAGCTGCCCGGGCACTGCCAGGCTTTTTGGCAGAGGCAACGGCCGACACAAAGAAGTTAACGAGTAAAATTGTTCGTCTTCCTTTTTTCCCCCCAATCGTCACTATCCAACTGAAATACTTCTTGTTATCACCACTGCATCATCACATCCTAGTTGGTATTTTGGGAATCCACCTCGGACAACGCAGCTGAGCACCGTTGTATTTCACGTCAAATTAGGTTCTGCTCCGTCTGTGCAACCCAGAGCTTAGTATTTACCGGTTAGGAATAACCATATTAACCCTGGTTAATAATCTCTCTTCATTCTCTGAATGGAACGTGTTTGCACAAGTGACAGCGATTGGAGTAGGCAAACAACTCTTGTGTGCGCAATGGAAGGGAATCCACATTTCACATGCATCTCAGTTGTGTTTACTGTGCAGATACTGCCACAAACGGAAAGTTTCTGGAAAACTTTTCATTGCCTACAGGCAGTGTGCTTACATCAATGTCAGTGGCTTAAATTACAACCCCGAGTGCAGAGAACTAGTTAATCTTTACCGTATGACTTCAAAACTGACCATAAATAGCTATAAGCCAGGTAATTTATTTTTGTCCATGGCATTTCTTTACCCAAACAGGAGAAAACAGCCGAGTGAGCTGGAGAAGTTAAAACAAACCCAAAGCACGCTGGAGCCATCGCCAGCTCTCGGCCCCTAACGCTGAATGTTTCAACCGCCCTTGAAAAACAAAAAGATCACAACAAATCCCACTGAAAACTCCTCTTCTCTGCAACACAAGCATGTGGACAACGCAAGCCTTAAGGTAAGTTAGAGGCACGTGAGGTTTACTCACCTGGAATAGCTGTTAACCTGCTGTGATCTTGATGCATTTATGTTGTTGAGCTCTGGTACATTCAAGCTGGTGGTGGTGTGTTTACTGTGACAGTAAGACTGATGCGCTTTATTTGATATTACTCCGTTACTGCAACTGCTTTCAAACCCTGAAAGAAAGTGTTAGTAATTGTAATTATCTGCAAGCTTTATTTGTAAGTACTGATTTATAGAAGTGAAATAAGTACAGCTTAATTGTTCCCGGTCAGTAAACGCTAGATTTGCTAAACAAATAAACCCAAATACTGAGCCTCCGTGTTTCAGGTATTCGAACCTTTAAGGTTTCTACAGTGCAGAAGCTAAGCATTATTTAACAAGTACTAACACATACATGAGAAGGTTTTTCAGTTGTACTTATTCACCAGTAAAAGAGAAAACTGCTTTTTTTAGAGCTGCTACATTGTTTCTCAAAGATCTGAAAATCTTTTCTAGGCCACTGTAATCATTAGGAATGGAAGCAGACATGCATCTTATTAATTCCTAATCACATAATTCTCTTGATAAATATGCAGTAAAAATCAGTGCTGAAAGTACTTCACACGTTGCTACATTCAAATACAACCTCTCTCCTTCCCCATGCAATTATTTTAATTGTTAATATTATGCTTTGCTAAATAAAATTACGCCACACTGAGAAATTATAATGCCTGGCTAAAATCTCTTCCGACCCTTCTAAAAATATAATCAAGAAATGACTCTCTGAAGCAAGCACATGATTGCCAGTTCTATCAAGCCCAAAAGCAGGAGCCGCCTACTACCTTCTAACATAGAAACAGGTCACAGGAAGGGCTTATTAGGAACAAAACAGTTGCTGCCATTCAGGAAATCCCAAACCTCAATTCTAATAATATATTCATCAACTGGTCTATTTTCAAAATTAGAAAGGGAGAGGTGGCTTTCTACAACACATCCCAATAACCACCTGAAGAAGAAAGAGAAAATCCGAGTGGGCCTCCACTCACACACGTGCTAGCACACTCTTGACACAGAGGGAAGAAAAGCGAGGCTGCTGCCTGTCCAAGGGCACCAGGTATTCTGGTGGCCAGGCTACACTGGCTTCCGACTCAATCTCGCCAAGGAAAAAAAAAAAAAAAGTCTTAAAAAAAGCCCCCATCAGCTCCAGTTTGGATTTAAGAATGAAACAGAAGTGAAGGTTGGTGGCCTCTGCTATCTTAAGAGCCTTGGGTTCAAAGAGGACAGGTTCATGTACCGTTTTGATGTGCCCAACTTCTGCTCTGCGGGGGTGCTTTGAAGGCAGGGGGATCTCCCCGTTGGCATGGGGCAGCTCTGAACATCCGTGGTTTCCCACTGAAGCTTTACCACCACCGAGACGTTCTCAGAAGCATTTTGGCTGTGCAGACCGAAATTTGGCTGCCAGCAGAAAGTCTTTTACCTAACTCCACCACCTAGCTTCTGGTATTCCCCACACAAGAGCAGCTGTTCCTACTATTCCATAAACACCGTAGGGAATGGACCCTATACACCACTTATTGGATTTAAACTATCTTGCCCGTGCCATAAATTACCATCAAAAGGACAACGGAAATTTGTGTTGGAGCCTTCCATTTCCCAGAAGCAAGGACTTCTTAGAAATCGGCGGCAACCTACTTTGCAAACCCTTAGTAAAATCAAGAGCGCATGCAAAAAAATCTGATTCTATTTATACACTTTCCATTTCCCCAATGACTGAGAATCACACCTTTTAATCATTAAAACTATACTTTTACACAAAGCATTCAGTAGCAACTCTTAAGTACAACAATTTGTCAGTCTGCGAGTATTTGTAACTTCTCCCAATACTTAATTGTAAAAAAAACTACACGGTGTGGTACACGCGAATCTACGTGGTGTATCCTCCGCATCAACCTACCAGAAAAGTGTGTGCTGCTCCCTTTGCCTGTTGCCAAATTGTGAATATTCATTCCATGGCTGGGACTCATGCTAGGACTACTGAACGATCGTGGGCTAACAGGGTAACTATCTTGAGATTTTGGACTGTGGCCTCCCAAACACCGCACTTCGCTGTCGGTACCATTCACCATCTCTATAAACTGGCGCACTCTAAACAAAAGGCAAAAAAAGTTAAGCTAATAAAACACATTTCGATTTAGAAACGATAGCAATGATTTAACTTTAGTGTTAAATACACAAGAAGTCTGACTCAACAAAATGCTGGATGTCAGTAACCCAATCGTCAAGAAGCTTTGGAGTATTCAGCCAAAAATACGCAATTACAAAATTTGTGAGGGAGGAGAACAGGAATATTATCCTTTGAGGACAGACTTTTGTCAGGAAGTCCTCAAAGTTTAGACGGCTAAACTGTATTTTCTTGTTAACTGTTTGGTTTTATTGGCAGGGGCAAGGTTATTTCTTGAGAAGGCTATGTCATTCCCTTGTCACGTCTGTCATTTCTCTCAAAGTCAATGAGAACAGAGTTTGACTGTCTGGAACAGTAAGCCTTAAATGGTAACTCTTAACATTAAACATTTGCACTAGAAAACCTTTGGAAAAACAAGCTCGTATACAAACCTTCCCTTTAGAGGCTGTTGCTCTTTGTCAATTTTATTTTAGACAAGGAGGTTTTACTATGGACTTTAAGGAAGCTCAGAACTACTGCTTTATGTTTTAGGCTTCGATAGCCTCAAGAGAACAGGCAAAATTTAGAAAGACAGACTGAGAAAAAGATAACATACAATTGACGTTATTGAGTGAAGTCTTTCATCAAAACGTGTGCGTTTTGTGAATTCTGTGATAAGTCTACAGTACTATCACGTGAATTCTGTTCAGCGCTTGAGCGTGACAGACTTCAAACACATTCCAAGTTACTTAACTGAACGTAAAAATTGAAGTGCTTTGTTCTCATAGGAGGTAACAGATTTTTTTTCCCTGCATTCAGACACTACAACGTGATACAGAACTCTGGAGAATCAGTGCAGCTGGCAAGTAAAAATGCCAGAACGAAGGTGACTATTGTGTGCCTGGGAAGCCAAGAGAACTCTTTGGGATTACAGAATTTCCACAGTATTAGCCAGAGGTTTCTAGTAAAGTGACGTGGAGTGAAACAGCTCATTTGAACTGGTCTTTAAAGTCAGTCACCCATTTGGAGGAACAGACCAACTTAGGCCAACAGGACTCTTAACCTTGTTGAATATGTATCAGTTTACATTTTAAGTTTTACTTGACACCCAAACTGATTAAAATCGATTCAAAAAAAAAATACAATACAAAGCTTAGCTCTAGAGAACAAGTCTACAGTGAGATGTGAATTATGCTGCAAAACGGGACCTTGATGACAAAACCTAGTTAAACATGTAGCAAATCATATAGCATAAAAAGTGAACTATACACATTTTCTAAAAAACGCTGCTTAACGTTGTTTAAATTTCTGTGAAAGCTTTAAATGAGTAACTGTCTTGTCTCAGAAGGTACTGTGCCATCTATAAACACACATCTGTATAATTTGAAGACTCACTTTAATGCAAATAAGAGATTAGGATTTCTTTCTAGTAAACTTGGATACAACTGTTGTGTTGTTTCAATGGCTTCTCCCATTCTTCCTGCTAAAACCAATTTCTGAATTCCTGTTCACCAAAAAACAAATAAGAGATTAGGATTTTTTTCTAGTAAACTTGGATACAGCTGTTATGTTGTTTCAATGGGTTCTCCATTCATCCTGCCAAAACCAATTTCTGCTTTTCTGTTCACCAAAACCAACATCAGTTAAATGGACAGCTTACGAATTAATACATGTAAATTAACGATTAAAAGACACCGCAACCATCAATCAACAAGGTTTCTTCCTCTTAGAAAAAAAGTAGTGTAAAGAAAGATCATGCTTCCTTGAAATGTTCAACAGGAAAATTTAAGAACTGCACTCCACCTACATGTATCTAAACGAGTACTCAGTATTCTTATTTCTTGCCAGCATACAACTATTTTGTACTCGGATTGCGCATTCAGAGCTAGATTAAGACTGCAGAC